CTGACACATAGTAAGCTCTCAGCAAGTTCTTTCCCCATGTTTTTTTTTTTTTTCCTAAAAAGGACTGTGCACATGAGTTGCATTGTAAAAGATGTTTACTCTCCTATTTATTATCTTGAGAAATACAATTGGTTACAGATTTCTGCCTCATGAAGAGAGGCCAAAAATCTGTAACACACCTAAACTTATAATTTTTATCAAAGTTACACATTTAGTTTTCCAATAAGAAACAAATGGCATGTCTTCTTTCTCTGGACCCATTTTGTAAACTGTTCTTTGTTCCCTGAAGCAGTTGTCAAATTACAACATTTATGCTAAAAACCAGCAGTCATGTCTGTACAGAATGGGACTGTGGATTGAGAAACTGGACCATGTTTATCCAGGGTTTTTCTCATAGACTGTTAAATGTGTGTTGTAATTGCATCCAGTAGCTTTTCTGCTCAATCTTTAAAAAACTTCCATCAAGCGCTGGGCCTTTAGCTCAGTGGTTATGCCGCCTGCCTCTCAAGCGCAAGGTCCAGAGTTTGATCCTTGGTACAAAAAACCAAAAAAAAACCCCACAAAAAAACCTTCCATCAAAAGTTACAAAAAAAAAAAAAAGTATTTTATGCAATGGGATTTTGATTCTATGTCTTTAGAAAAAATGAATGCCATCCTATCTGCTATTAATCCAGATTATTCTGTTTTAATATTATGGTGAAGCTCTAATTGCTGTTTTAACTATGCTTGTTAATGTGAAGATCATGGAAGAAACATAAACAATATGAAAGAAGTTGTTTTCCAGTCCTCTTGTGTCTCTGAGTGTCCTGAGGGTCACACATTCTCTCAGGCCTGGCCCACTCAGGTGCAATCAGATATCCTTGATCTGTCTTTCCACTCTTCAGAAATCCGATAACAGGTCTCTTTCCAGGGGAACTCAATAAAATTTCCTGCTCTTAGTGACTTAGCTGAGGGACAATGACTTTGAAGGTTGTCTCTTAGTTTAATTGTGTTGCTACATTTTGAAGTCTAAATAATAGAATAAAAACATTTTCAATAAAATTTCTGATATCTAATTAATGTCTTCCAGAGTAACTGTGGTATCAAACATTTCCTCTAATTATATTCATTAGTGGTTTCTCTCGGACAAGTTTTAATTAAGTTGTACAATGAAGGATCATTGTGTATTCATTGCAATTTACAACAAGAATATATACTGCTCAGAACAATTTAATTATTGTAATTGTAGCACTGAAGACACTTAGTGATTGTACTGTATTACTGCATTTCCCCCCTTTTAATAAATTTGGCAATATAATTGGGAAATAAACTTCTGAAAATTCATGTTTATATATATCCTGTCCATATTGCTGTGTTTTACCTACTTTTTTTTAACCCTCAGTGCTTGCATTTTTTATATAGCTAGTAGGAAAAAGAGAGGTATTAATAACATCAGTGACAGAGTATTTTTTACATATACCATCACGAATGTTGAAAATTATTAAAGCATAAATGAATACACTTGTAATAATTACAGGATTTCTGTGAAAAATAATGTAAGGGAATTGTATCAGTAAAATACTTTATTTTCCACATAAGAGTGAGATTATCTTATTATTTTATTTCCTTAAGTAAGAGTATTATTTTGGTTCATAAGGAATGCCTCCAAAATATGCTAACTTCTGTTAAAGAAGATCACGCTAAGGTATACTCTACCAAGAAATGTGAAGGCAGAGTTATTTTAGTTGCATCACTGGGTGTATAACAGGGCTTCTCAACTTTGGCATAAGTGAAATTGGCTCAGATTGACCTCCTAGGGACTTGGAATTGGCTTCTGGAGACCTTTGTCATGCATTGTGGAATGTCTAGCCTCATGGCTGACTTCTTCCCATTAGATACCAGTAGCAAATACTTACCTACCTGTACCCAAAGTTTTCCTAATCAAACTGTCTCCAGACCTCATCAGATACCCATGTTGAGAAGCACTGGTGTGTATTGATTCCCCCTTACACTTGGGTCAGCCCGTTCACCAGATGATTCCTTTATTGACAAACACCTCATCATCTGTTTCAGCACAGGCCAGGTACATGAGTCAAATGTGATGTTCTTTTAAGGAAATGACACACTTGGGTTTTTTAGAGATAAAAACTAGGTACTAATACAACACTCATTAAAAATACCCAACTCAGATTTAGGAAAAAGAGGATTGGTCATGGTTTCCTGAAAAACAAACAAAACTTAGTAAGATACATAGCCAAGAACTATGGGTTGGATGTGTTTGAAAACAAGGGGAGTGTCTGGAATATTTTGAATACTTAGGGATTGATGCCAATGTGTCTTTTCCTATAATATGTTTTTACTGAAAAAAATATATATGATAAACTTTAGCTATTTTCTCTGGGGCATGTGAGGAACTGATCCAGACCCAAAGCATCTATTCTGTATTACATGAGTAAAATTATAGTACTCACCAAGTAATTGTATAAAATACCTAATTGTACTCTTTTCTCAATTTGCAATTCTGTAATGGCATATGTAAATATCTTCTTAGCATTGTGAATTTTATGAAATCATTTATTTCTGGAGGAAAGTCAGATTATACAGCAGTGTATAAAAATGATATGCATATATTTCCTACAAACCTCCTCCTGCATTTATCTGAAGAAATCATTTTGACAAAATCACAGGTGAGATTATATAGGTTCTGATTGTACTTATTTTCATGTATTTTACAATGTATTCCAATGTTAAAAATTTCCAGAAAATTGTATTAACAGTCAAGACAGTGTTTTAAGGTCCTTCATTTACTTCCACATATTTTCAACCAAAAAAGAAAAATAATAATGTAGATTAAAGCTAATTTAAGTGAGAGCAACTAGAAGCACCTGAAATTCTGTTGATAAAATGAATACTTCAAATCCACATATTATGAGGTCTACAAGGAATGCTGTTTCTCCAGGCAGACTGGTTATGAATTCCTAGAATTCCTATGCACATCAGCTTGCCACCACAGGATTAAATTCTGTTTGCTATGGCAGTAACATTTGCTCTACTTTATGTAATCTACACATATACCATACCACTACTCAATATCAAAGATGAACCAAATGAATCATTTAAAAATGAATAAACATAACAATTTAGGTTCTGCCCTCCCCTGGTATTTAATTATGTCTAGACATAACCGTAGTGTCCTAGAAAAACTAAAATGAGGACAAGGACATTTGTGTTTAATGTAGCCTTATTCCCAGGGAAACCTGGAAACTACGCAGAAAAGAGGGTACTTGCAACTGAAAAATTAGGTGTAGTAGCATGTCTGTCAGGACATGTAAGATCAGTCAGTGGTAACAAAACAGTTTGGGTTTGTTTTGTTTTAAACAGTAGTTTTGTTTTTTTTAAAACAGTAGTTTTTCAATTAGTGCTTGATTTTTTTATAACAGTTCTACAGATTTATTATTCCATGAAGCCAGTGAGGGTAAGCTAAAGATGATACAAATATTATATAGGGTGCATTTTTATTGTTAAGAGGCACAGAAGTTAGAAAAATAAGTATGTTTTGCAATAATAACATGTTTATGTGATAATTAGCCTGTTTCTGTTTTCTACAATTTTAAATTGGTTTATTTTACTTTTAATAATATTATAGACTTAATTTAGTTTGTCAGATATGTATGTATTTCTGTCTCAGTAATTTGTGCTACTGTGAAAGAAAATAATGAATAATGAAGGTTAAATGCACTCAATTTTTATAATGTACAAAATTTCAATTTCATGCCAGGCATGGTGGCACAACACCTGTAATCCCAGGACTCAGAATGCTGAGGCAGGAGGATCATCACAAGTTCAAGGTCAGCCTGGGCTACATAGTGAGTTCAAGGCCAGACCTCTGTCTCAAAAAACAAAAAAAACAACCAACCAACCAAACAAACAAAAATTTCAAATTCAATCATAGTCCTGATTTTCTCAATTATCACTCTTTTATATCATATATTCTATTATAGAGTATGAAAATACATGTCTTAGTCTATCAATTGCTGTCCTTTTGTACTCTAGGCTTACCATTTCCAGATAGAATCATCCTTTTAGAATTTGTTACCTTTCAAGATACGGGGACTTTAATATAATATAAGATGCTTTGGTACTTCTTCCTAGTAATAACCCAAGTTTCTCTTTTGAATGACTTTTAAACTAATTTATTGGGAAGAGCATTGAATACCATGGAGAGAGTGTGTATGTGTGTGTGTGTGTGTGTGTGTGTGTGTGTTTGTGTATACCTGCTTATACATGGCTTCCTTGATAAGAAAGATATTCAGATTTCCATCCTGAAGTTTCCAAATATCTTAGACTTTCCAGATGTAATGTATTTGATAGTGTTATGTGAAGCAAATTTTTAATTCTGTTCATATCTAAGTAGAAGCTATCCTTGCAGTGCAATGGACTGTTAGCTGTAGTAACAACCCAAGGAACTGCGACAGTTTCCTTGTCTTGGTTAAGGGTATATAGATTTATTTCTTAATTTAGCTTGCAATTTGGATTACTGATTTTGGCTAATATCACAAAAATGTTACAAGCTTGGGAATAGTTTATTGCTGTTTAATGTAAATTATTTGTTAATTGCTTCATAACAGCTTTCCAGAAGAAAATAAAATACGTTATCTACAATTTTATGACTGCAGCCTAATCCTAAAACTTGATGCCTTTTAGAAAAGCTGCATAGGGCTTTTTTTTTAGTCTTTCTTTCATTTTTTCCTTTTTCTTATTATTTGCTCTTTTTTGTCCTCTAATTTGGCAGAAATTATTTAGGATAATTATGTGTTCTTGTGTTTTTGTTTGGTTTTCTCTAAGTGTTTATTCAAAATCACTTGTTCTCTTTTATCCTAATAATGTTTTCTACAAATTTACCTCTTGTACTCATCATAAGGAAATTTTAATAAAATTTCAGTTATATAAACAGTATGCACTATCAAAATAAGGGTATGTTGTTATACATTTCACTCAGTTTTGTGTTATTTGTCTTTCAGTGAATTTGTTGGATTCACGCACTGTCATGGGTGATCTGGGATGGATTGCTTTTCCAAAAAATGGGGTAAGTTCCTATGAAATTTTCCCAAAACTTAAGCTTCATACGTAGGCATTGTGCTAAAAGTTGCATGGAATTGAAAACTCACTGGACTTGTTTAAAAGAGGAGAAGTATGTTTTTCTAGTGAGTGTGAGGACCTCACATCCCTTTTGAGAGGGGAAAGGTAGCAATAGGGAAAGATTGTCCAAGACTGAATAACAAATGTAATACATTCTTCTGTCAGTATTCCTCCTCAAGAAAATGTGATGTTTCCTTCAACATTCGGAAAGCTTTCAGATTAAATCAATCAAACTTTTAAAGTTTATATACTCCAAAAGAATATTTGACTTGCTGTTGCTTTGCCTTTCTGATGGTTTTATATTGTGAGGGAAATGAAATTTAGTGTGTGTGATAAGTGCTGATTCAAAGCTGTGACCAATTCGTTTTTTCCTTTCAGTTACAGAATTAGAGGATGTAGTTATTATGTGAAATTCATGAAAATTTCATTGAGATTAAAAATTTCTCAAAATACCAATTTAGTCACCACTTCAAATGGTGTTTTCCAATTCTTTTTAAAAGTTTCTTCTTGCTTATTGGTATATATTTGAGGTGGATAATAATTGCACCCCTATTGGGGATGTGGAACATATTCACAAAGCACCTTAATCACTTTTACCTCCCCTTCTCCCTGTGCCTCCACGTCTCTTCCTTTCCCCAGATACCTATTCTGGAAATTTTCTTCACTGAAAACTTCAAAAAAATGGTTACATTGAAAAATTTTATAAGTAATATTGCTTTTAGCACATTATTTTATTGATATCCATTAAAAACAAAATCTTTTTGGGGGAAATTAGATGTCATTTTGCAGTTCTATATCTGAAAGTATTTATGATACTAATAATTTTACTACATAGACTATACAAAAAAGTACTTCATTGTGTTCTGCTCAGTTAAGTACAGAACCATTTTATCAGGTAGAAGATGAAAAGATAGGTAAAATATTATAATATAAAAATCATCATATTACACTGAAATATTAAATCCATTTTATAACTATTAAATAATTAACTTCATGAGATTATTAACTAATAATTTTATATTTTAACATTTTCTAATTTTTAATCTAAAACTACTCACACTCACTATGGAATCACTTTGTCACAAATATCTTTGATCCTTTATTTAAAAAAATATATTGACTACTTAAAATTATTTTAAGTACTCACATATACATGCAGTTAATTTGGGCAGTAATTCATAGCAAAATAGTTTACCATGGAATATTTTATGATATAAGATAGTTTAAGCTTAAGTAATAAAAGTTATAACAAATCTAGTTATAACAATCTAGCCAAAATGTTTTACTTTTTAAAAAATTAATGAAAAAAACAAGTAACTTAATCAATTCTTTACTAAGAAAATTATTATGAAAGTAAAATAAGTAGAATTAATTTTCTAATACACAATTATATATGGATATCTTAATTGATGTGCTTTTTTATATTTCACTAATTTGGAATTTATTTCTCATTGTTAAAATTATGGTTGTGACCTAGTGGTGCAGCTCAGTGGTAGAGTGCTTACTGAGCAAGTGCAGGGTCTTGGGTTTGATCCCTGCACTACAACCATGAAAAATGATGGTTGCATTTAGAATTATAATATAAAAATTTATTATTAGTATAGCGTTAAGAGATTAGAACCTTAAGAATATGACAAAAGAAAAAAAAATCTCATGATCCACATATAGTTGGTCTCAGTTTTGTGCTTTGTATTCTTTGTCTAGTCTTCTTTAACTTTTACAATCTTTCAGCTTCCCTTACTTCTCCTTCGCTGTATTTTCTCTTTTTTCTCTATTACCAGCCATCTGTAGATAGATCAGTGGCTAATACTGATCTATGAGGATCTATGCATGAATTTTGTACTTTTCCACTTCTTACAAACCAAAACTGTTTTGAATTAGGAATTCAAAATGCCGTTTCTGAGAAGATATCTGACATCTGGTGTTGAAATTAATTTTCTAGAATCCTGAGAAATTGTATGATATTCACTTTGAATTTATTTTTATGTTTTTCTCTTGTTTCCACTAGGAAGTAATTCAAAAGCTCTTTGTGACAGACTGTCCCTAAGAGAGTATATTTGAAGTATTGTAGTTGTTCTGCAACTAAAAATTTTTGGGGATTTGCTCAATTTGGAAAATGATTTTGTTATAAAAACAAACACTGTGTATAAAAGTTGAGATCTTCCCAACATTTGGACAGTTTTATGTTTTCTTTTTTCTTATAATTGTTCGTATCATGGTGATTTTTTCACATCTTAAATCAATAGGTATCTTTTTAAAGACTTCAAATTTTTAATGTGCTATGAGTCCTTTGTCATAGCTGTATCTAATATTAACATTGAAGAAAAAAGTTAATTTAGAGTTTAGAAAATGTCCATTTGTCCAAATGTGGGGAGAATTTATGGAATTTGGACATTATATTTTGGAAAATGGCATTCAAATAAAAGGTAAAATTTTTCTGATTCCTTAGAAAAAATGAGTGTTCAATGTATATGTAATTGTATTAAGAAGTGTACACTTTTAACATATTTGGGTTAGGTTTTGCCACTTATGGCAATCCTGGGTGAAAAGTAGATCATCAGAATGATATCAACAAGAATTGTGAAGTAAGAGCTTTCAAGAGTTTGAAGTTTCAAGTTTTCTCCTCAGTCAACAAAAGTCATAAGAAAATTGGGAGGAAACTGTCAGAATAAACTTCTTTTTCCTCTGGAAATAATTCAAAGACTTGGAGATATATGGAAAGCATTTATTCAAGAAATGTGCTTGAACCTTGTGAGACTGCAAAGATTTGTGGTCTTTTAATTTGTTGGTTGTCCTTTCTGGCTTACCAATTCTGAGGTATCCTTGGAAAGCCAAACAATTGTCATTACAGTGAAAACCATCAGCCCAGGTAGGCACTGGAAGAACAGAATAGGGAGGGCGATTCCACAGTCTTTTCTTTGTCCATTCATATGTAGAATCATATAGGCTGGTACCAAGATTTAACTATTAATGAATTTTGTGCTGCTCTAAACATGACTATGCATGTATCTCTGTAAAATGATGTCTTTAACTCTGATTTGACCTGATAGTACCCTAAAAGACTATCAAAATCAAGGCTGACTTGATTTGACCTATGTAGAGCTCTCAGTCCAAAAGCCTTTTGGAGACTGACATTTGTGAAAAAGAGGCAATTGCCTTGTTTTTCTAATGTCTGAGGTGGTAGGTAAAATTCAGGACAGACAATAGACTAGCTATACAAATAACTTAAAAGGAAAAATCTCACAAATGAAATCTCCATACAGGCTTTAAAGTGCTCCACCATGTTATGATGCCATCTGAAAGGCTGTGCACATGCCCAAGGATATATGTATTCTCAGAAAGACCTGAGAAACTAGGTTTTCTTCTGTGACTGGCCTTATACCTCTGAACAAGCAGAATGTTATGGTAAAACAGAGCCTGTAATTGCATGATGAATATTAAAGGAATACTCTAATGTACATACACAAACTTATTGTTCTAAGTTTTTTTAAAAAAAAATCTGTCCTGGGCTGCAAATGTAGCTTGGTAGTAGAGTACTTGCCTAGCATGCACAAGGCCCTGATTTCAATCCCCAATCACACACACACACACACACACACACAAACACACACAACCCTGACCAAGTATTAGCCTCTATTAGGCTTACCTAACAGTAGCTTTGATGGCTACAGGTGGTAAAGAACAGCTTACAGAATTAGTTTAGAAGTCATTAAAATATAATGACAAACCTACAGTGTGAGGAGAATTTAAGTTGCAGAATTGCCATTGTATTATTCAATACATTTAGTTTTTGACAAAAATCTATGAGACATACAAAGAAACAAGAAATTATTACCACTATATGGGACAAAAATCAATCAATAGAAATTATATTAAGGATTCTCAGATGTTTGACTTAATAGATGAAGGCTGGAGTTACAAATTTAAAATGTATTAATAGAACTAAGAGAAAATTTGTCTAAAGAACTAAAAAACGTATAAGAATGTCTCATATAATTCAAAATGTCAATAAAAAATAGAACTCAACTTTTAAAGGGAAGTAGATATTCTAGAGTTGAAAAGAATGAAAACTGAAATGAAAAATTCACTAAAAAAGGATTAACAGCAGATCTGAGCAAGCAGAAAAAACAAGTTTGAATATAGGAAAATAGCAAATTTGAATATAGGAAAACTGAGACCATCCACTTGGAAAAACCAAAAGGAAAAATAGTGAAGTGAAATAAAAAGAAATGTAGAGACCCAGAGGGACAGTATAGATATAATGAGAAAGAAGAGGGCAAAAGGTTCTGAACAGACATTTTGATAATGACAGAGGGCCTGGGATTTATCTCAGTGGTCCCCCCCCCCCCACCTGATTTGCAAGCACAAGGTCCAGAGTTCCTTCCCCGGTACCAGAACAACAACAACAACAACAAAAACCCAGAAAAGAATTAGTGGACAGAGCTCCCCAAATTTGATGAAAATGTTAATACAGTGTTCAGGAAACTCAACAAACTTAAGTAGCATAGACTCAAAGAGATGCCTAACCTTGTATCAGGGTTAAATAGTCAAAAGCCAAAGAGAATTTTGAAAGAAGAGAAAGGGGTGCTTACTAACCTGTACCATAAATCCTCAATACTACCACAGCTGATTTCTCATTAGGAACCAGGAGATGGTAGAATGATGTATTCAAAATGATAAAAGAAAAAGATAATAAAAGCAAGAGTTCTACATCCAGCAAAACTTTCCTTTAAAAATTAAGTGTAAACTAGGACTTGAAATAAATAAAATTTGAGAAAACACAAATTATCAAATTTTTTTTCCATTGGAAATATAATCTCACAAATAGGCCCTACATATATAGAACCCAACTATTTTTCAGAGAGAATGACATTTTAAACTTTTGTTTTTCATCCTTTATACTTCATTTTCAGAGAGAAGCATATAAATTGATGTATTATGTGCTTT